TCTCAACCTACTATGTTTAACGATAGATAATGCACTTATGTACTTGTATGTCGCTTTATAACAGTAATCTAATCTATGTTGAGTAAGAAATTCAAAGCAATGCTTGCCTCCCACAGATGGATTTACTTGAAAGGTAACTTGTAAAAGTTCTGGATTGAGGAAAATATATTATATCCACAAAAATCCATCACCTGTATACTTACCATGCATGGATGTTTAGTATGCAAAATACTCCCCAATTTAAAGATAGAGTACTGTGAGAAAAGAGGAGAAATAAACAAGCAAACAGGGGTGGGATGTTATGGACCCGGGAACTGTTTTCCTAGGACAAAAGAAACTCCATGACATCCCGTAAGGGATGAAGAAGCACTAACAGAATCTACTGACAAGAAGAGACCTGGGGTAACAATAGGGAGGCCCCTGGTTAACAAAGCTGAGACCTGAGGCAGAGGGAGATCCGGGGTCACGAGCAGGAGTGGCCAGTGTCATACAATAGACACCTGTGCTGGACACCATCGTGTTATGAGAGACTTGTTAGCGGAGGCCTGTAAGGCCCGAGAACGCCGATCATGAGCCAGACTAGGAGAACCTCCCTCCACCAGCATGTGGACACTTGGCTTCTTCTGTGTCAGATGTCCTTTGAGAAGGAGGAATAAGAGGGAAGATCTGTGGGAGGAAAGTAATAGCTCCAACAGGGAGTTTAAATTATTTTCACTCAAATTAGTGATTTCACAGAGGAGGAGACAAGAGAATTTTAATCCATATGTTTATTTATTTATGTATTCTGATCATGAAAAAGAGGCTTGGAGGATAAGAAGAGATTGGTTGTAGAAAACAGAAAATAGGTCCCGCGCGCGCTGGAGACGGCGGCCACGGTGGGAAGGTTTCTCCGGGCTTCGGTTGCCCGACATGTGAGTGCTATTCCTTGGGGCATCTCTGCCTCTGCAGCCCTTCGACCTGCTGCTTCCCGAAGAACATGCTTGACAAATGTATTGTGGTCTGGTTCTGCCCAAGCAAAATTCGCTTTTAGCACCAGTTCCACACACCATGCTCCTGCCGTCACCCAACACGCGCCCTATTTTAAGGGCACCGCCGTTGTCAACAGAGAGTTCAAAGACCTAAGCCTTGATGACTTTAAGGGGAAATATTTGGTGCTTTTCTTCTACCCTTTGGACTTCACCTTTGTGTGTCCTACAGAAATTGTTGCTTTTAGTGACAAAGCCAAGGAGTTTCACGATGTGAACTGTGAAGTTGTTGCGGTTTCGGTGGATTCGCACTTCACCCATCTCGCCTGGATAAACACACCGAGGAAGAATGGCGGTTTGGGCCACATGAACATCGCACTCTTGTCAGATTTGACTAAACAGATTTCCAGAGACTACGCCGTGCTGCTGGAAGGCCCTGGTGTTGCTCTGAGAGGTCTCTTCATAATTGACCCCAATGGAATCATCAGGCATTTGAGTGTCAATGATCTCCCCGTGGGCCGAAGCGTGGAAGAGACCCTCCGCTTGGTGAAGGCGTTCCAATTTGTGGAAACCCATGGAGAAGTCTGCCCAGCAAACTGGACCCCGGATTCTCCTACAATCAAGCCACATCCAACTGCTTCCAGAAAATACTTCGAGAAGGTAAACCAGTAGATCATCCACCCCGTGTACCTGCAGCTCCTCCCATCAGAAAAGAATCACAGTTGGAACTCATCTATTAGCATTTCAAAGATGATTATTTATAGAAGAGAAAAAACCAATTATGTTTGTATTCATAAATAATACTCAGTGTTTTCCTTTTGTAACATTGGCTAAGGCTTTTACATGTACTCACACAGAGCGTCCTTTATTGGTAACCTGTTGGTAGCTAGCTAGTTTATAGAATTTGCTAGATCACCTATTCCTTGGATTGTGTCTTCAATGGGAAGAGTAAATCCTCTTCTCTCTCAGCCTTACTTGAACCTCTGTGTGCAGTGGAGAAGTCTAACAAGCTCCGAAAGATTCTGATCAAGGGTCCTGAAATTTTCTTCTTGGATTTCTTTGTACTAAACTGAATTCTCTTTTCAAGTAACAAAGATCATAGTTTGAAGGTGTTAACATCAACAGACTGCTTTAATTCTTGCAGTGGATGTATGTGTACTTGAAACAAATCTCAGTGTTTTTTAAAAAAAAAAC